GTTGGTCTGTATTGTATATTTGTGCTGCATTTCCAGATGTTACTTATCAGTAATCTTAATGATAAGTATTCACACTAGAATAGTGGAAATATTTTAAAAATTGATCACATGCAGTGTAGCTTCACGGATCCATTTAAAACAAAACTATAAAGGTTCATTCAGTACTGAAGTGCACAGAGTTTCCATGAGAGGTCTTTATGCAGTTCTCCCTTGTAAGAATATGTTTATATGATAATCATCTTTGTAAGGACCGCTGCTGTGGTCTAGTGGTCAGAGTTCCTGGCTACAGATCCAGAGGACCCAAGTTCGATTCCCGGCACTACTAGATTTTCTGAGAAGTGGTGAGTCTGGAGTGGGGTCCACTCAGCCTTATGAGGATAATTCTAGGAAATAGCGGCTCCGGTCTAGAAAACCGAGATTAACTACCGTGGGGGCCCATTGTGCTGACTGTGTGACACTCTCTATCCGCAAAAGTTGATACTAACTTTGCTGACAAGCTGCCATCGCTTGGTCAGTATAGTATGCTTGTGGCCCACAGGCCATGGAGTGAAAGTATAATGATCTTTGTAACATTTTAAAGGGTACTACAACTTTAATGAGGAAATCTAATATCAGATTTCATTCTGTTTTGTTGTTCTGGAGTGCAGTGTGCAGATAGACTGACACAAAAAACAAATGAATACAAATAAATATTAACCCTTCCGCGACGGATAGTATATAAATCTTTTCCTACCGCCAAACCGACGGGGTATTTAATTATTAAACAGAAAAATGCACTTATCCATGAAAAATTTAGTTAACTCTCGCAAAAATAGGTATATTGAGATAAAATTTTCACAGAAATATTCATAATGAAACGAAGAACAAAACTATATATATAATTTTTAATATAATTATGATAAATAATATTTTTTTACTCACTCGAACTGCTAATAGTTGAGTTTGGTGTGGTAATCCTGAAAACACTGGTCAATACATAGCCCAACATCACAATCACTGCACCAGTACACGGTTTCTTTTCTTCTTTTGTTTTTGTACACACTACACATCGCCTTTGTGGTCTAGCCTTTTTTCCTGATGGGGGAATTTTAATAATAAAATGTCTTTCACGAAGCCGGGGATGGTGTTATCTCATGAATGACGTCGACCTTGTACTCTACGTGCTGCCTGCTCCTGGTCCGTAAACTTCAACAGCAACCCTTCTACCAGATTTACTCTGAATGCTAAGTGGTCTGTCAGTCTTTCCTGATTCTTGTTATAAATTATCATGGCATTTACCACTGTCGCATTCAAAAGGCGTCTGAAGAGTTTCATGTACCACTTATGAAGTCTTTTTCTTTCCACGTTGTAGTACTGTAAAAGCTGATCTTTCAAATCAACGCCACCCATCATTTCATTATAATCAATTATAATTTTTGGTTTTTTTATTTCTTTGTTTCTCTTTATATCTGTCTGTGTGTCGGCATTGTGAAATGTAGAGATCACGGAAACTGGTTTTTTGTCTTGCCACTTGAGAACAGTTATAGGACCTGCGTGCTGAGCTATGATCTCGCCCTTTCTCAACTTTGTGTTTTTTACAGTTGTTGGGACACCCTTTCTGTTCAACCTAAGGGTCCCAACACAGTCAGTGCCATGATTTTTTAATAATTTTGCTAACTGGGGGGAATTGTAATAATTATCCATCCATA